TTTACTGTAGTGGGTCCTGTAGTGGGGGACCCAAAACTGAACACAATACTTGAGGTGTGGTCCTGGATTACTTGTGTTCTGAAGAATCTGGTTCTAGTTGTGCAATATCACGAGGTAAGTACAGTAATATAGCTCAAGACAAAGCTGTATGACTGATCAATAAAAGGCATTATTGTATTTTCTGAATTATTCATCACCCTATTCTCTATGCGTTCTAGTGCTGTTAGAGTGTTTGGACTGTTATTGTATATTGAACAGGTCTTTCCTGATCTGCCTATAGTATTGACTTTGAATTTATCCAGCTGGAATTTTGTAAGCTACTTGAGCCTTTTTAAATTTCTCAAGAGTGTTATTCCTTTGCTACTTCCTTCTCTAGATCTCCTACCTGAAAGCAGAATGTTATATTGGCAAGTAGATGGCTTCCTAAAGAACACTACTATGTTTGCGCAAGTGTTCAAGTGCAAACTGTCCCAATATGAAGGAAAGATTAGGAAACATAATGGGAGGTCAATGTCTTGAAAATGGAAAGGGATGACATAGTTCATAATTTGGAAAATAAGTCAAATTGTAACTGTGAGTATAAAAACCGGCATGATCAAAATAAGGGTTAAGTTACAAGAGATATAACTGAAACATGCTTATGGATAATTTTATATTCACTCCCTTCTTGAAATATACTGTGGAGTTAGATGAATAGTGGGTCAGCTAACAGCTGATACTAGAACATCTAAAATAAAATACTAGTCTATTTTTTGCTCCAATCTTGAATAAAAAGATTATCTATGGCTAAATGGCCAATGTAAGTACTATCTGTAATGAAATGTGGAAGATCAGAAACTATGGTATCTTCTGATCATTTGGAACTCAAAAAGTTTCTTTGGTAACTCCAAACCTTATTAGACATTACTCTTAAAAGCGTATGGAGAATGAGTGAGGACCAAAGTTAGATACCAGATGTAAAGAGGAGGAAGGAGAAAATTAAAAGAAGATAAGGTATTACAGATCAGCCAGACTGTAATTCAAAATAGTGTTGAACAACTCAAACCATTATTTATCTTTATAAAAAGTGAATTTCATCAGATTCCAGATGTGTGAAATCAAATATTTCTGTAGCAAATCAATGTCATTTTTTGAAGAATAAAACACAGCTGCTGTTATAATGCTAGGGAGACCAAGTCCTAATAACTAAACTCAATAAAATAAATTGAGAAGAAAAATCCAGTAAAAAATAGCAGTCTTCAATATTAATCAGTAAGAAAAAATTGTGTATCCTTGATGGAGAAGTTAATGTTGTCAGGTAGTTTGCCAATGCTGATTTGATTTTCTTCAACCTATGAGTTTCAAGGTCATAAGGAAAGCCAGGCTCCTTGCACCAAGTTTAAGCCTAGAGCTATGGACAAGCCAGATGTATGAAGGCACAATTGTCACTGCTGTCATAGCAGGGATGGCTCAAGGGCTGGTGTTCCCAGGGTGAAGCAAGCTTGTTGACCCATCTTTTGCTGTGCTGCCACAGACAACTTTTGGAAGCACAGGTTGGCCAAGTGCTGTGTATCATCCTGATGGAAGGGCCTCTTGTAAGGTAATCCAGTGTCCCATGTAGGAGAAGGCAATAGGGATGGCAAAATGAAGGATGGGAGTGATGCAGGCTTATGGAGTTTCAATTGAGATCCCTGATGGCAAGGGAGATATGCAAGGAACAGGAGTGTTTCCTGCATCTCGTGTTCCTATTTTGCTCTCTCCCTAAGACCTGTCACAGATCCCTTGACACTCGTAACAAGCTGTGATATCACAGTCACAGAGTAGTTGGGGCTGGAAGGAAGTTCTAGAGATGGTCTGGATGGAAGTTATCTGGGATGCTTCAAAGCATACTGCCTCTGGCATCTGTTTGCTTAGACAAGCAGCTGTGGCCCTCAAGATTTTGTCCTGTGTTGCTCTGCTTTTACAGAGGGACACAGTGGATGCTCAGACAACAGATGCTCAAAAAGCAAAATCTTAAGTGTTGTTGGAGTTCCAAGAATACACAGTAGATAGTTTTTGACAATGCTATGTATTAGCTTTGTAACTTGCTATTTTACCCTTTTGGAGAAATAAGGGAAATACAGTGCAGTATAGCACTTCAGCTATTTTCTGAAAGTCATTTGCTCTTTAACCCTAGACTTTTAAATTCATTGCATCTTCCTTTTCCTTTACAGCCACTTTCAGTTAGAGCCTGGCAAGCATGCAGACTGTAGGCTACCTAGGGAAATTGGTCTCTAAAAACATATGGCATTTCAACTTCAACAATGTCAGAATTATCATTTGACTGTAATTATGTTCATTTAATTAAGTGCAACCTGAAATAAAAAAAAAAGTTAATATGTAATTTAAAAAGTAGAGCATTCAAATTAGAAGGTCTATTTCTGTGTGGATTTAGGTACTGTGACATTTTTAATTACACTGCTGATGTATAGAATCTGCAGTCTTTAATTACATAACAATGTTATTTGTACATGGAACCCTTTTCTTTAACTATATGATATGCTCTAAGGATTATTAGGAGCTCTAGATATTAATGTGTGTGATCCCAGCTGGAGTTTGAAGAATGAATTGAAAGATGCTGGTTTCAAGTGAAGGGAGGAAAAGTAGGTGAGTGAGTCCATCGGGTGGAACAGAAGATGAAGTCAAGTGCAAAGTAACTCAGTGCTTCCTCTAGTGCAGCTGTTGAAGCACCTAATGTCGAGTCTTTCAAAATTTGAGACAGGTTTATGCTGAACTCATTTTTTTATGAAAAGGCACAAGATACCACTAGGAAACCTTTGGGTTAATTAAGTTTTTTGCTGTGGAATTATAATTTTATTTCCTGAGAAATTGCATGAGACTAATATAATGAGAAATTAGTTGTTACAGGCATGATATATTACTAAAAAAGAAAACAAACAAAGAAAACCCTGCCAAATCAAACAAATGACATAATCATCATTGTAAACTCCTTGAAAAGGCTTTTTTTGTTCAAGTTCAGAGAGGTGGAAAGTAGTGGAAAGATATTAGAGCAGAATCAACTTGAGTAAAAAAGACAAGCAGAAACGTCGTTTGCATTAGCATACTGTGTAAGCCTCAAATACTTTTCTGGAAATGGCTGTTGTTCACATAGAAAAATGTTTTATTTTTCCCATTCTGATTTTTTACACTTTTATGAGTCCATGCAAAATCATGAAATTATTCTTATATTTAAAATAAGTATGTGTGATATTGGTCGTCCCACCCTTGAGAGATTGACACTCAGAAGCCTTCAAATCCCAAATATTGTGATCTGCTTTTAAAAAGAAGTTTTATGTTGTGATTTTGGTTTGTCTTTTGATACATATTTTTTTAACCTCCCCTTGCTTACCCCACTAGATGTGTATATGTGACAGTGAGGGTGGCCAACTCCATAATTTCTGAAGTGACTGTAAGTAAAGCATTTTCATGTTGCAAAAATTCTCACACCCACCTCTACTAACTCCTTCCCGGCAATTAATTCTGCCAGAATGTTCTCCCCACATAAATTTGTGTTCATCCTTCAATCTTATCACTGCTGCTCTTGAGAATTGTTCCCCCTCTCTTTCCCAGCACAGTGGGTGCAGTTGGAACTTCTTTCCACTTCTTCCTCAACTGTGCCTGCTACCTAGCTGTGCATCTCAGAAGAAGAGCTCCTCGACTTTCACTCCTTCCTTCCAGCAGCTGGAAGGAATGGGACAAAAAAGGTCAGACCTCATCCTTGCTTCAAACCCCACTGCAAGTATCTCGACAGGGTTTAAGAGTATAATCTATATATAATATAGATTTTAGATTTTATAGATTTATATACAGTATATATATCTATATATAGTATAGATTTCTCTGTTTTCTTACAAAGCTACTTTATGTACCGCTTCCTCCATGTGAAGATGTGAACATGGCAGAGGGAGAAAGCAGCATCAAATCTTAACGGGGAAATTTCAGTCCATACCATTCTAGCTACCTGCCTCCTCTCCTACCTGGTTTGTGGTCAGCCATGGTTAGCTCTAAATATCTCATCTATGATCACTCATAATAGCCCCAGTTTTACACTTTTAGTTGTATTATAGCACTCCATGTCCCTCTTGCTGATGGTTTTTACTCCAGTCACCACGAGCCACCCTTGTGGCATTGGGGCCCAGTAATGTTTGTGTCACTGTTGTGTCTTCCTCTCACTGTTGAGCTGAGGCAGGCCTGCATCCCGTGAGAGGTTTTAGACTAAAAAAGGGGAGATTAAGATTGAGGAAATTTCTCACTGCAAGAGCAGTGAGGCCCTGGCACAGTCTGCCCAATGAAGTTGTGCCCCATCCTGGAGGAGTTCAAGGCCTGGTTGGATGAGGCCTGGGCAGCTAGGCTGGTGAGTGGTACCCCTGCCCCATGGCATGGGGTTGGGGCTGGGTGGGCTTTGTGGTCCCTTTGAATGCAAGCTGCTCTGTGATGATCTGTGCTGTGATAGGGGCGTTCACTGGGTTGGGAAAAGAGAACTGCTTCTGTGTGAGTGCAAAACTTTAGCTGGTAAACATTGTGCACGATGGACATGAAACTTTGGTAACAGTACTGCAGCTTGTTCTGAGTGCCTGCTTTTTAGGAGTAACCAAGTCCTTCAGAATAAGGCAAGGGGCCATACCTAAAGGCGGGAAAAACGTGTTTTGTTGCTCCAATATCGAATTTTGACAAAAATCGATGTAGGGCTTTACACCAGAGATTGATCCGTGTGGAAAAGGATCTCGTGGAACACACGTCGGACGGTAGGAACCACACGACATCTTTCCCAGGCATCTCCCGTAGCGCTGAGGGGACGCGGGGGCAGCGCGCTCCCCACCCGGAGCAGCAGGCGCGGCATGTGCGCGGGGAGGCGCTTCCCGGCGGCGCCCAGCCCCGGGTCGGCGGCGCGGGGCCGCGGCCGCCCTCCCGCCCGCCGCACCATGCCGCCGCGGCTCCTCCTCTCCGCCTCCCGCGCGGGAGCGCGCCCCGTTCCCCTCCCCGGCTGCCTGCAGCAGCGGCGGCGCTGAGGGAGTTGCGCGGGCTCTGCCCGGCGCCTCCGATGTGGCGAGAAGCGATGATGGGGAGGAGGAGACGCCGTTACCTGCTGGAGCGGGCAGAGCAGGCGGGCGGCTGCGGGGCGGGCGGCGAGCACTCCCGCTCCCGGGACTGGCTCTACGAGTCCTACTATTGCATGAGCCAGCAGCACCCGCTCATCGTCTTCCTACTCCTCATCGTGATGGGCGCCTGCCTGGCCCTGCTCGCCGTCTTCTTCGCCTCGGGGCTGGTAAGGGACGCGACGGGTGCCGGGGACGGGACGGAGCGCGGAGCCGCTGCGGGGAGAAGTTGGCGGCGGCGGCGGGGACCCCCCGGGCAAAGTTGGGCGCCCGATGCGCGCGGGCGGGGCTGGAGGCGAAGGGAGCGGGAGGGAGCGGCGGGCGCTCCGAGTTTAATTCGCTTAATTCGCCTGCTCTGCTTCCTTCCAGCTGGCAGAGTGGCCAGCTGACCTTCTGCTTTTGCTGGCGGGGTTTAAATCTTCTTCCCAAAACGCGGGTAGTCACGTTTGGACGGCAAGTAGGCAGCTGGCCGTTGTTTTCTTAATACCCCCCCCTACAATGATTGAGTTCTCCAGCGTTTGACCCATTTTCTCGAGGGAGCCTTCGCTGCTCGGGGAGGCGAAGTTGGCTGTGCGCGGTGCCCCCCGCGCGAAAGCTGAGGGCTCCCGGCCCCGGGAAGGAGCGCGTCGCGGAGCCGCTGACAGCTGGCATCGCGGCTCTGGCATAGCAAGCCGGGCCGCTCTGCCCTTGTGCCGAGCGCGAGGGAGAGGCTGCAGAGGGCAGTAACATTCTTGCTTCTTACGGAGTTCTGCTGTCAGTAGTGAGTAGGGGCTGCTTGCACAGCTGTGGGCTTCGGAAGTAGCGAACGGAGATTTGAGGGGTCTCAGTTTTTGGTTTTTCTTATTCCTGTTTAGGTATTCGGTCTTTTGGGGAGCTTGATGTTTATTGAATACAGCTAAGGGTCTGTAGGAGCGAGGACAAGTAGGTCAGGTATAGCTTGCTGCCTCTCCTAGAGGCGTTGCACATAACGTTGCTTGAACAGACAGAGAACCCTGCTTTCCTGCTTGTTTTGACCAAACTTTTGTCTTAAAACCTGCAGGAAGTGGTTGCAGGACTTGCTACGCTTAGAGTTAATTGCCGACTTATTTCCTTTATATATTTGTCTTAATGTTTTCAGTGCTTTGTTTTGTAAGTGCTATTCCTACTAAGTGCAGAACAGGCGTAAAACAGCTCAGGTGAAGCCAGTAATATTAGCAATGGCTCCAAATTCAGTTGCTTGATGCTTAGATGTTTCAGCTGTGGACCTCTGTGTACCCAAATGCAAAATAAACAGTGTTTAATTAAAGTGCATTGGCTGGAGGGTGGCAGTGGGAGAACAGCCAGGCTAAGGCATGGGCAGGTGTGAGATGTATACAGTACTAACTCCAGCCAAGCCAGCACAACTTGGGTTTGACAGCTCTTAGTACTGAATTTCAGCTCTTTTTGTCATGGCACGACCTGTAGCTTGTTGTCACAAGTTGCACCTGCCTTTTTCATAATTCCATTTCTCAAAGTAAGTCATTAATAGTAACAACACTGGCACAATGCTGGTTCAGAGGACTAACTGAAAGTTCTGGAAACAAAACAGAGATCTGACTGCATCTTGCCATGCACAGTGCTACAGAAAGAGTGAATTTTATAGTTCAGTCTGCATTTGGAATTCCAGACATACCGGAAAACAAAAAAAAAAAGAATGCTTTTAGAACCTTTTTCCTGAGCCTTTATCTTCCTGTGGCTCACAACTGAGAGGGTGAGTGGGGAGAGAGGTGGGGTTTGTCCTTAAAGTTTCCAGTCAGCGGATGAGAGCGACTTCAGGCGCAGAGAGAGCTCGTCTGTGCTGACTTTCAGCCGCAGGATGTTGGGCAAAATCCTTTGGAGGCCTGCCCAGATGTTCACCTAAAAGCCTTTTATTATAGTCAAGCTCTAGTTGCATTTGGGATTGAAAATATTTCTAAAGGTTTTAGTTCTGTTTCTCCTGCATGTGGCTGAAGAACTCTCTTGTTGTACAGCTGTGGAACCTTGATTGAGTTTTTGTGCCTGATAATATGCAAGTGTCAAGCAGTTATGAGCATCTGAGCTAGGAGAGCCAGTGCTTCTATCCTTGTCTTTATTTTGCATGTCTTGTATGTATGTGATTGCTTTGACAGCATATTTACTTCTGTAAATGGAAGTGAATGGAAATAGTTCTGTGAAGGTCTGTGCCGTGCATTTGAAGTTAAAGGAAATCTTTCTCAACAGTTGTTTCCTTTAGATTTCATACAAAGCAGCGAAGATTTTACTGAAAATTACTTAAGCCTGTTGTGGAAACAAAATTCCAAAGTGACTCACTGCAACACTTGATTCATATTTCTCACTTTTATTTCAAAGCACAGCTTAGGATGCAAAATGTGAGATCGAACGTTTTAGGAAAAAAGTGGGTATACATGAAAGATGAACCCTTTTTATGTTCTAGGCTTTCTAATGAGAAGATGAACCCGATAGAAGTGAGAGGTTTTCCTTCCACTTTATTTTTAATTCAGTTGTTAAAATGTATCTTGGTGAGATCTGAATTTTCTTTTTTAATTTTATTTATTGAGGAAGAACAATGTCTGCTTAACTACTCCCCAGCAGAGCCAACCACACCGGGATGCATTCTACTTATTCAGCTCTTTCAACCTGCCAGAATACCAGCTGTAGTCTTCCCGGTTTCAGATGAAAAATTTATAAAAGCTGTTGCAAAATTACAGTAAACAAGATTACTTACAAAGTGTGCCTGGAAATCAGATTACTTTTCTTTCAGGCAGCGTACTGCTGTTGTTACTGAGAGTGGTTTCTTGGGAGATTTTTGGTTTTGTTTGTTTCAGGAAAATAATGTGATTTTGACCTTTGGGATTAAGTGCTCTATCTCCTCAAACACTTGATACGAGACTCCCAGAGTCCACCTGTGAGATGACCATTCAAATCGTGGAGCTTTGCATAATGTAATGATAGTATCAGCCTTTGTATTTCCTGTGTCAAAGTATCCTCTGTATTTCTCGGTACCTGGCGTGAATAGAAAACTGGCAAAATGAAGTCAGGCTTCCATGTTTAGCTGCTTTAATCGATAGAGAGTAAATTATTTTCCCAAATCTGTGAATGCCTTCCAGTGCTTAGAAATGCCAGATGTCAGGTTCATTTTCTGTCTGTTTACTGTCTTGCTCTTTTAATAACATAATGTGTAGAGCAAACTCATTATTTTCCTCCTTCACCCTTTTTAGTACTAAAAACATCCCACCTTTTAGTGGTATCTAGAACAGCTATGTATCTGGTCAAAACATATCTGTGATACCTGCAATTTATAGGAAAAAAAGATTAAACTGACTAATATTTTTTAAAATATCTAATGTAAAATATCAGCATATCTGAATCTGCTGTTGTGATGTTTTGTTTCTTATGCAGTTAAACAAAACTCTGGTTGAAAACGGGGTTGATGCCCAAACTGTACAATTTATTAGAACACTGTAACTTTCACAAATATAATACATGCATGAAATATATTTTCTAGACATAAAGACTGCACTATGGTGTAGATACAGGCTTCAATAAAAGCAGTTCTGTAGCATCTGAATCACTTAGCACTGCTAAGGACCTTGTGGTGAAATGAGACCCAAGTCTGTCAGGACTTTTCTTTGTGTTTTTCCTGAAATTCAAGGGCCACCAATCTGCCGTGAGATATATATTTCTTTCAGTCTGATCAGTGGTCTTTGCTGAAACACTGCAAGCCTGAAGTGCGGGGTTACATTGTCAGTAGGTTTATACCCTTAGCTGCCTTCAGAATTCTTGCTGCTACAGGTGACCCTGTGAAGGCTCTTAAGATGTGGTTGTTGATGTGCTGTGGAGCTGGAAGGTATCAATGGTCAAGTGGAATGTGTGTTGAGCGAAGAGTCCTTCCACGATGTGACATTGGGATGCATTCGCTCACCTCAAGTGCTATGAAGTCGCTTATCCTTAGCTTCTCAATCGTCTATCTGTCTCCCAAACCACTTGCACAGAAAGAAGCGGGTCAGAAGAGTCCTGTAAGCATCTCAGGAGAGTGCCTTTTTTTTGGGCCCGTGATTAGAATGACAGCAATCCTCCTTTTCTCTGATGAGTCTAACTGTTTAAAAGAAATCCTTATACTTCTGCAAAAACTGGCCAATCAGCCAAACCTAGAACTCTTCCAGATTGCCATGATTAGAATTTCATCCTAAAATAGAGGGGGAAAAGTCTTCAAGTCCGTGTGGAAAACACAGCTTAAAATAGCAGAAAGAAGAAACATGTTCATTCTCATCACAGTGTCTCAAGTGATGAGGTGCCTGCAGATGGGCATTTACTGCATGATTCTGGTAGTGTCCTTGTCAGTACTTTAGATCTAAAAATTCATTCATCCAGACCAGCAGGTCATCACAGTGGTGCTGTGGTGATGTTATACCCTGTTAATGAAGTGCTCTGTTATAACTAATTGTATAGAGTAATACAGCTGTGTTGTAGGTTCACTCATAATGGAAATTTCAAGAAATCTTTTAGGAACAGCACTGTATAATTTATAGCACGTTTGGTTCAAAAGCAGCAACTGTCTTCCCCAAATCCAAGAATACTCAAGCCTTTGAAAGTGTTCCTTGGAATCCCTGCAGACTAAAAGCGAGCCAAAGCATCTGCTATACTGTTTTCAAACCCCAGCATATCCATTCCTACAAGAAAGAAAACTAAGGCACAGCAAAGGTAATGAAGGAGCAAAATCCTCATGAGTTGAAGATCAAGCTGAAGGGGGGCTGTTTGCCTACTTGTTGTGTCCACAAGGTGTGCTATCTTAAACTCGTTCTGACACATTAATGAAGCTATTAAGATGAAGAAGAATTCAAAGCAAAAATCAGTTTATTTATAATGTCTTCTCTTTCAGTAATTCCAGCTGTAAGCTCCTGCTTGAAAGTCTGCTGTATATCGAACTGTTCTGTGGGGGAATGCCATGTTTCAGGTTTTTTCTTATTTTTAGGCACCATAAAATCACAGTATATTTTCCAGGTATCGCTGCTGGCTGTCTGATACAGTTTCATGATTTGCCCTCCCTGTCAGTTGTTTTCTCCAGTAATATCTTTGTGTAACTTTTGTGGCCAGTATTACCTCTTGAATTGGTCCTGTAAAGGTTGATGTTTCTTCCTATCTGAGTCAAGATTTACCTTGTTTTGTATCTGGT